TCTATTAAAAATAGAAAACTAAATAAATACAAAATCCGTAACACTGCCCCCTTCCCAAGGACTGCATGTTCCAGGCAGTACAATCTCTGGACAAGAAGCCAAACTTACAACTAAGGCATCAATGCAACAATAAACATTACATTACAAAAACAAACAAAAAACAATAACTGCAATAAGTAACTAAACCAAATCAAATCCTAAATACAAAATCAAGTCAAATTTACAGTTATATGCACTATGTACTATGGCCATAGTAATGAACTAACCTGTCGTAATGAACGACTTTAGGTTTAGAGTTCGATGACTTGATCCGAACCGTTTGATGATGATCCGAACCACGATGTCGTTCAGCCTCTTTAGGACTGCGTACGGATCATCCGAAGCTGACTGTAGTTTCGGACAGATTCCTTGCCGAGTCGGATTTCACAACCACACTTTGTCTCCTTCGTTGAATCGATGTGTATCTTATGTCGTATCGGGTCGCATCTGACTTCTTTGCCACTCCATGGGTCTTTATCAGCTGATGTTAATATAATTTGCCTGCGACTGAATTGAGTAGCTCATATTTCGCTTCGTCCCTGGAACAATATCAGCAGTTTTGTGGGCAAGGCGTTTCTGTGCGATGATCCCTTCCGGTGGCGGATAGTGATGTCATATTCCTGGAGCCTCTGTATCCACCTGGCTATTTGACCCTCAGGATTCTAGAAATTTAAAAGCTGGGCCAATGATGCATGATCTGTAGGGAGCAGGAATTTTCTGTCATATAGATAATAAAGGAAAATTTCCTATAGCTTTGACTATGGTGAGCAATTCTTTCCTGGAGACACAGTAATTCATCTCCGGCTTAGACAGGCACTTACTCCAGTAAGCCACTACACGTTCTTGGCCGTCTATTTCTTGAGACAATACAGCACCGACACTTTCATTGCTCATGTCCATGTTGAGAATAAATGGTCTGTCGAGCTGAGGATACGTCAGGATTGGAGCAGATGTTAAAGCCTCCTTTAGGTTCTTAAATGCATTTTCATATTCTTTTGTCCACAAGAACTTTTGCTTGCTCTCTGTCAGCTTATGAAGGGGTCTTGCGATGGAAGAAAAGTTCTTCACGAATCTGCTATAGTAGGTGCAAAGCCCTAGGAAGCTTCTCAGCTGATGGACATTTTCGGGATGTTTCCATTCTTAAACGCTGACACTTTTCCAGGATCAGTGCACACACCTTCTGCAGAGATGACATGTCTGAGGTAAATCACTTCCTGTCTGAATAATTTGCATTTAGTGAGACACAACTTTAGACAGTCTCCATTAGGTGTCCGAATGTAGCCGGCGCATTGCAGAGTCCAAACGGCATCACCTTGAACTGCCAAAGTCCTTGTCCCATAGTAAATGCCATCTTTTCTAGGTCATCAGGATGTATTTCTAACTGCCAATACCCACTCTTTAAATCAAGTGTTGAGAATCGCTTCCGGAAAGAGTGTCCAGAATGTCTTCAGTTCTAGGAAGAGGGTAATTGTCTTTCTTCGTAACCTCATTCAATCGGCGGTAGTCAACACATAATCTTGTTGAGCCGCCTTTCTTTTTGACGAGGACGATGGGAAATGCCATGGGCTTGCTGAAGGCTCGATGGCATCGCCTTCTTCTATATCCTTTAAAAATGTTCCTACCTCTTCCTGTTTAGCAATTGGTAGACATCTTGGATGTTGCTTGATTGGTGGATGATCACCAGTTACGATTCTATGTTGCGTCAAACTAGTTCGACAGACCGGGAAGAAGACGACTGGTCGAAAACATCTTGAAAATCTTTAATGACACGTTCAACAGCATTCCTCTCTTCATCGTTTAATTGTGCATTCTGCAATAACTCCAATGTGATGCTCTCTGAAGACATGGATTCTGGAGTGCTACTGTTTTGTTTAACGCTGGCCGCTAGAGTACACGCTGTTAAAACTTCACCTTTCTTAACACCCTTTTCTCTCGCCTTCTCAGTTATATTGGCAACTCTCACTGGAATAATGGTTCTCGATAGGATGATGAGTGCTGAGGCTACTAGTACTCCTTTCGGGCTGTTACAGTTATTGGGATATTATATAATGCCGTAGTGGAAATTTGTTATAGATCCAGGAAGTAAAAATTTTGTTTTTGTTGGGATTGTGATACTGTCTTGAGATATAATTTTGTGGACAGATTTCACTCCTTCATCATCAATACCAAATAAGGCTATGCACTCAGAGGCAGAATGTAGTTCATTACTTTTATTAAAGTCTAAGGAAAAATTGCTTTTCCTTAGACTACTCCTTTTGAGTAGTACAGTTATTGGGTTTTTAAAGTCTAAGGAAAAATTGTATTTTCTTAGAAAGTCCAATCCGAGCATGCAAGAATCTGTATTATTTGCCACATATGCTGTGTGGTGGTAGGTGACACTTTGAAACGTTATGTTAACGTTTAATTTTTCATCAATATTGATCTTCTCACCGGTCACAGTCTGGAGGATAACACAGGGCAGCATCCAGATAAGTTTACCTTCCATTTCTTGAGCCCAAGCTTTTCTGATGATGGTAATGTTGACTCCTGTATCGATGGTCATATTGCAGGGAACCCCATTGATATATCCCATGATGAATTGATATATTGATATATCCCATTGATATATTGATATATCCCATGATGATGTCCATGACTGCCGCCACTCATGTGAGAAAGCTGAAGTGCTTTAAAATGGGGCTTCTTATCATTTGGCAACCTCCGCCCCGTGAGATTGCCACTAATTAGTTTCCCTGTTTCTTGTTGGGAGAGGTCTTAACATCCATACCCTGGGATGTTCTGCAGTTTCTTTGTATGTGCCCTTCAGCACTGCAGTTCCTGCACTTTACGGTCAATTTCTTGTTACCAATATTCCATCTCAAGGCTTCAGCTGTCTAGTTAAATCGTCCAGACGAGCAGTGACTTGATCCACTAGCTCTTGCACTTGAGCAGCTCTGATTGGGTAGTGGTCTCTACGAGTTGCTTGCTGGGCTGCCTCGAATTTCATGGCGTACACTAGAGTGCTTTTTAAATCTTTAATATTCGCCATTCATAGAGCTTTCTGTATTTCAGGATCCCAAATGCCGTCGATAAAGTATTGCAGGGACAGGATTTCTCTTGTTTCCGTCGGGCACTCCAAAAAGGCTAGGTGGGACAGCCTTTCAACATCTATGGCCAGCTCCTGGAGTGTTTCCATTGACTTCTGTTGATGGGATTTTAATTGAAGTCTGCTGTAGTCTTTTAAACATTTCTCTCCAAATCGCAGCTCCAACGCACCGGATAGAGCTTCGAAATTTAGTCTCTGGTTTTCTGGAAGAGTTTGAAGAATATCTGCAGCATCTGCTCTCAAAGAAGTGGCGAGATGACAGGCCTTAGCTTAGGAATCCCATCCATTTGCTTCAGCCACTATAGAAAGTTGTGTCTTATATACTTGCTAGGAGGTCTTCTCATCATACGTAGATAGCTTCAGAGAGGAATGAGCAGGCATGGGTAAAAATTTGAAACCATCAGATTTGCTCCCTGCCGTCGCTACGAACTTCTTTAAATTATCAATTTTCACAACTGCCGCAACACTGTCATCAATTTTTTGTTGGATGGTAGAAACTCTTCCTTCTATTTGTTCTTTCACAGAAGAAACTCTTTCTTCAATGTATCCAACTCTGTTTTCAACAGCATCTATTTTGCCTTCCATAGTCTCAAACTTGCTTTCTATTACGCAGGTAATTTCTATTTTCATTTCCTCTTGACCCACGTTCATTACTTCTTTAACAGATACTTGACCAGCTTCCATCATTTCTTGGCCAGCTTCCATCTTTCTTGAACCGCCTTCATCTCTTCTTTCACGGATTCTTGGCCCGCTTTCATTTCTGCTTGGCCTGGTTCATCTCTTCTTTAAACAAAGCAAAGGCTTCAATCAGCTGTCTTAACTGTTCTTCCAATCTCTCTTGTGACCGGCATTCAAAAATCCCACTTCTGACACCAAAACATGTTGCGTGCATACGGGTTCATAATAAATTGAATGCACAAGTCTGATGAAAAATGAATAAAATTTATTCTTATCACAACAAATAAAAACAAAATGCTTAAATTTCCTTAGAGATATTCGTATAATAGTGCAATATCGCACAGTAGTTACTACTGAAAGTACTAAAACGTTCAACAGAACTTACCGTATTTGATGGCATATAAGATGTACTGGCATATAAGACGCACCCTTATTTAGAGGGCCACACACAAGGGAAAAAAGTTTCAATAGCGTGGTTTCTTTTAGTTCTCACGTTTCATAAAAGCCAAATAAACAATTATTGAATGCAATTACCTTCACGTATAAGACGCAGGTAACATTTTTTAGACCAAATTTAGGATAAAAAGTGCGTCTTATATGTCGTCAAATATGGTAATTCAAAACAGAAAAAGTTAATCCGATTTCACAACGAATTTGCTACAGTAAACAGCAAGTTTTCTAAACAACTCATAAAACAACTGAATTGAGATGTTTTCCTCCAGCTTTTATAAGATTTTTAAACACGCACGAGAAACTTCTTGTATTTTTTCGATTTTTCTGGATATTAAAAGAGTACAATTACAAGATATCAATTATTAAAATGTTAGATGCGCATGCTCCTGTATTTTTATATAAAATGAAATTTATATGATAAAATTTGAAAACTTCAAGCAATGTCGGCCACCAAGAAACATTGATAAAAATATGCAGAAATACTAGTTTATTGTATATATATATTTTTATTTTGATAGAAAAATATGCTTTTATAAAAACAATACAAGACCAATTTCAATGTTCCTACAAATTTCAATATTATTAATTATTATCTTTATGACAATTCTGCTGCACTATAAAGCATATAACATTTAGTACTTTAACTATAAGTTCCATTGCAGAATGTTTCTATAATATGCCAAATTTAAATATTTTTCAGTCCATTTTATATTTTAAAAGCTTGGAAAAAACAGTTTATACATACCACCCAATTTGGATACTTTCCCTTTGGCATGTGTTTTAGCCAATCATCAATGACACAATAAAGGTCTAATCCTGTTGAACCAGGATGCATTTTGTAAAACTGAAAATTGAAGGTAAAATCAGCAAGTCTCTGATCAGCTGTTCCATAATAGAGCATAACATCTTTAATTTCCTCAATTGCTTCAGTCATCATTATCCTTAAAAAAAAAAAAAAAAAAAAAAAAAAAAAAATCATGAATGATCACATAACTGGAGAGAAGCAACTGTAAATTATGTTTAATGGGGGGAGGGGATTCTAAGTTTCACAAAAGCAGATTTTATACTATAGATGAAAAAGCAGAGTAAAATGAAAATTCATAATATATTTTTATTTAAGCGTAAACATTATTATATTTTTACATATATAGTCTTTGAACTGAAAGAAAGTAGTAACTGTACACTGAAGAAAAGGCAAAGAAAGCATCAGTTACATCTACTATCATGAATTGGCAGACTGCCTTAGTCTGCCAATTCATGATTGTAGAAAGTGCAAACAAAACAAAGTGCAAACTTTCTGCTGTGAAAAAAGAAAATGCAAACTTTCTGCTGGCTAGAAACATGAATTTTAAATTTAAATTGGGCATTGAAAGCAGCATTTTTTTCATTCATTATATGCTGAACTTGTAGCATGTTGAAAAAATAGCCTTACAAAAAGATTTAAGCTTGAATGAAAGAGATAAATTGTTAAAAGAACTTAATGTTCTTGGTAAGTGCAGAAAGGAAGAAACTTCATTTAAACTGAGAATTACCAAACAATATAGTGTAATTTACTTAAACAAAGAAATATATTTGGTTATAAACTAATAAACAATGCCTTAAATAAGTGCAAAAATGATGAAAAATTTAAACACATTGAAACTGCTCTTCTAGAATAATTTCAAGCAATAAAAATAAAAAAAAAAAAAAAAAAAAAAAAAAAAAAAAAAAAATCTTATTTCTAGAATTCTTAGCACTATAAAAGCTATAGAATTTGCTAAAATTCAAGGAGAGAATTCTGTGTCATTAAAAGATAGTTTACAAGTTGGAGAGACAGAAATAACATTGTTCATCAGAAACTATATTTTGCAATAAAAGAGGCAGGAAAAAAAAAAGGACATTTTATCTAGGCTGATAAATGAATGCAAGTCACATGGAATGTATAATAGAGGTGAAACTGGATTGTGTTACAGAACATTACCAGAACACAAATTAATGCTTACAAAAATGAAGGAACAAGTTGTGTTATTCATGCCAAATATGGACCCAACAGTTAAAAAGCAGCACAAAAGGTTATCGACAAAAGCAGAAAACCTCCATGTTTGAAAGGAATCAAAAGTTCAAGCAGTGACAAGTAGTATTTTGACTGATTTCTTTTGAAATTGGACAGTGAACTGAAAAATAAAAAATAGCTTTATTAATTAGATAAGTGTACAGCACACTTTTGGTCTTTTTCTGAAAAACAGTAGTGTCTCTTCCTAAGATGTTCAGCAAATGATACACAGAATTGCCTCTTGTGAAAATGCAAGCACCTCGGATATAATTAAGTTGATATCTGTGCTGAAGGTGATACATATTATAGTCAATGCATGGGGTCAATCTCTTAAAACCATATTGTAGTCAATGCAGGGGCATCAATCTCTCAAAACACAGTTAAAAACTGCTTTTGAAAATGTGGCTTTTATGTAGAAGAAGCCTAAGAAAAATTGCAAGTTACAGCTAGTGCTTCAGATATTGGTGAAGGAAGTGTGAAAAGGAATGCGACATGTCAGGTGCCCACCCTTTATCACATTTATGCCTCTTTACATTGTTATGATAAAACAATTGATCAAAGAGACGTAAGAGGATACAGAGACATATTCACTGGACAGTAACTGCAAAAAGGAATGCGACATGTCAATGTGACAAGTTAATCACCTGTTTCAGACTGATTTCAGTTAAGCTTTATTTTGTTAGTTAAATTTTGGTTTCAGTTCCCAAATTTAAAATTATTACTGAGGCAGCTTGCAAGTATCTGTATCATACGTGTTTCATAAGTGTTATGTAAGAATCATATGAAGAACATTAATTTTTAAATAACACAGTTACAGATATTTATTATAAGCAGTTACTATTTTAAGGATGAATAAAGAAAACAGCTAAATTAAAAAGGAAAGTTAAGAAACTTTTTTCAGTTATTCAAAATATTTTTCAGTTGGGGAAGATGCAGTAGTCCGAGGGGGCCAAATCAGGAGAATAGGGTGCATGAGGAAGAATTTCAATCTTCAGATCATGAAGTTTTGCCATTACAATGATAGCCTTGTGAATAGGAGCATTATCTTAGTGAAACATGACTTTCTTCTTGGCCAGACCTGGTCTTTTTTATTTGATTTTAGAATTTATCCAAACGATTAGCATAGTCAGTATTGATGGTCCTGTCTTTTTCTAGATAATCCAATAATAAAATTCCCATAGCATCCCCGAAACAGTAGCCATAACGTTTCCAGCAGATGGTGCACTTTTTGCTTTTTTGGTGCTCGTTTGTTCTTCGATGTCAACTGTTTTGAATGCTTCTTGGTCTCTGGAGTACAGTGATGGATCCAAGTCTCATTCACAGCAACAAAACGCCGCAAAATGTTAGTTGCGTTTAAGTTGTATAGTGTCCAACATTGCTCTGATATCATCATGCGCTGCAGTTTTTGCAAGGTCAGCAAATATGGCCCCCATCTTGCTGACGACTTTCTCATATCCAAAATAGCAGCTAAAATATGACATACTCATTCTTTGGCTATATCAACAGACTCAGCAACCTCTAGAAATTTCAACTGCCAATCAATCATAATGTTTTTGTGAACTTTTCATCTGTAGTGGATTATTTTGGTTTTTCAGAATGCTCCACATGCAGAGTGCTTGTACAACCACTTTTAAAATCTGTAACCCATGTTTTAAAGTTGTAAACAAAGGAGCTGATTCCCCAGTGTAGCATCTAACTCAGTTTTAATATCTGTTGGAGATAAGACTTTTATAAAAAAATATTTTATCACAGCTCACACTTCAGTTTCCTCCATACTCAGTTAAAAACAAAAAGAGAAATTTTTAAAACAGCACAGTATAAAAACAGCCAAATCTATATCCTTTGAAATACACAAGAAGTATTAAACAAAGACATAACTTTGAAGTGCCTTTGTTAAAAGTAACTCCGAGAGCACCATGTCTAAGTGAGGCAGGAAACGTTTCATCCCACCATCGTATTAAATATGATTTATATATACAAAGTCAAAATTATGTTAACAGTAATTATAAATATTATGTTAACACTAATCTTCCTTTTCACAGGTAGACCAGATGATGAGAACAGATAAAACACTAGAGCAAAGAGCAGTGATTGTAAACTCGATGCATATATATTGCGTATCAGCTGCAGTTTGTTGAATGATTTGCAGGAAAAAAAACCACCAAACCGGTTAACAATATATTGTGCCTACACTGAATTTATGATGACTCACTTTTGGTACACCACAACCAAGAACAGGGGCAGAAGTAAGATGAGTTTGGCAGTTACACAACAAGCCACAGCAGTTTCCTCCATACTCAGTTAAAAACAAAAAGAGAAATTTTTAAAACAGCACAGTATAAAAACAGCCAAATCTATATCCTTTGAAATACACAAGAAGTATTAAACAAAGACATAACTTTCAGCCCAACAAAATCAACTAGACTGCACATTTTGTAATCATAGATATTGAAAAAAAAAGATTCTGGTGGATCTTGACAGAAATTATTGGAACAATATCATACCACATCCCAGTTGTCCAAACTTTGATAGAGGCTCAAAAGCATGTTTGTGTGGAATATTGCCAAATTTTCATCGAAAGGATGAATATGCCACCAGACATTGTGAATCTGATGACATTCAATAATGAAGTCACATTTTATACAAATGGGTATGTAATTATATAATGCTATTTTCTAGGGTATGAAAAACATTCACATCATTCAGGAACTCAAACATTACTCTCTAAAGATGGACATATGATGTGCTATGCCACAGGCATAATGTTTCTTTTTTTTTATTTAAGAGAACAATTGCAAAATCCTCTTATTCCACAAGGCTTATAGATGTAAGTAAATAACTCAATAATACAAAAGAGATAGAATAATAATTCAGTACAATAATATATAATATCAAGATCTGGAAGGAATTAGGAAAATCTTTGTGGAATAGAAAAATGGAAACATTATGCTAATAATGGGTATGATACCCTCTAGCTGAAATGCATGTTTGACATCAGGGAGGCAAGCTGGCAATAGTATCGTTGATCAGTTATTGTGTCAGTAACGGCTATTTTTGTAACATACATTCTGCTAAAAAAATAAGCAACAAAGGTAAAACACAAAACAAAAATATTTGATGATTATGTATGAAATTGATCAACGAAGAAGTTGGTGTGACATTTCTAGACCATATAGCAAACAAAAGAGCAAAGATATACAAAAATACATGCATTAGGACCATCACATTGTGAAAGACCAAATCGGTTGGAAGAATGTGCAATGGAAACATCATACTAATAATGGGTATGATACTCTTTAGCTGAAATGCATGCTTGACAACAGGAAGGCAAGCTGGCTTGTTGATCACTTGTTGTGTCAGTAGTGGCCATTTCTGTAATAATGCATGTTGGAGCTCATGAAGGGTATTTGGCAACACATTACAATCTGCTATCCATTGCCCCAACATGTCCCACACATGCTCTATAGCAGGAGTTCTCAACTGGTGGTATGTGTACCACTGCTGGTACTCAAGAGAAAAGTAGGTGGTACGCAAAGAAGCAAAGTATTTTTAACTATTAATATCAAAAATTAAAACCCCAACATCCTGATTGAGTTTTCTTTCTCTAATACTCGTAAATTTATGCCATCTGAAGTTTGTTCAAGAGTGGTGGTGGTAGTATACTTTGTAGTGGTGATACTAAAGATTTTAAATTTTTGTTTAGGTGGTATGCATTAGTCAAAAGGTTGAGAACCGCTGCTCTATAGGATTCAGGTCCAGTGATCTAGCAGGCCATGAGCAGATGTGGAGTGGTTTCACTCTCCATATACCTCAACACCATTCCAGCTCTATGCAGGCAGGCATTACTTCCCATAAATATTGTGTTGGTACCCATTGTAGCGATTAAAGGATGCACAAGAAAGTATAAAA